CAAATGGAAGCTGCTCAGGACCACCATGATAGGTTCTTGGGCGCTTGGAAGCTCCCTGCAAGTCAACATTCAGGTGCAATACTTTATGGGCCATGGACAGCATAATGTATGCAAAACCTGTCGAACTACAACTCTCATCAGCAAAGAGTTCTTTTTGTTTGACCTTTGGGCACCTCACCTCTGCTCGTTTCCCTCACTGGTCGCCTGGAGGCCTAAAATTGTCTAATTTTCTCACTTTGTTCAAAACCTGCATTTATTCGGTACTCAAGATACTTTTGGCTTCACAGGCAACATATTTTCTCGTATCCCCTCAGACCCCTTGGAGGGGAAGGAACAATTACTCCATTTGCTCTCCCCCATGGAATGGCTCCTGTTTCGTGCATTTTGTACGCCATTTTAATGCAGTGTCTGCCTAAATTCCAGGTTTTCTGCATTCTAAATATCTTAGCTTTGAAACGTCATATTTCCTAAGTCATTTTCACTCGCTGCCATGAGTACAGCTTCGACACAGCTGTGTTCTCAAAATAACCAATGCCTGCTTGATAGCGTCTCCTGCTGCTTGATGTAAGCTGGTGTATGAAGATCGATTATTTTCAGCATAAGAACTCCCAACTAGCAATCACTTATTTATATCATGATTTTGTGTTTGGGGAAAACTGTTGCCCGCGTTGAGCTTAATAGCAATAGACCACTGGGCGAATGGTTAATGCAATACTGCAAAGAGAACATTCGTGTGTAGCATCAATGGAACACGAGGTAGCTTCAGTAGGACACATTTAAATCAATAAACTGCCTTCTATCCAACGCACCGTTCATTTATGCCTAAGGGCTCCGAAGGCGCAAGCGTTAGGTAGGATCAGATCTGGTCGAGCCTGTCGGTCATTGAAGCACAATGTCCCCTCGCATCCTGCACTAGCATTGATAGCTGTTTGGCAACTCGCTCGCAGCCATTTCCTAACAAACCCTGGGGATACGCTCTGCGAGATAGACAAGACACTGCGTCGCAGACTCACTGGCTGCATGCCTCGACATGACCCGCCGCTGGGCTTCATGATATAGTGAATGTGGGATTACGTCATGCACTGGGCTGGGCTGACAGAGTGGGTGCTCTGGCGAAGCGTTGGAGCGAGAGGTGCGCCGCTTCGGCATTGTGAGTGGTGTTTCGTGTCTGCCTGCATCGAGTCCCCTGTGCGTAAACCTTTTACGTGTGTTTAAATTCAGTCGTTTGCATTCGGCCTCTGCCCGTCTTTTGCGGTTCTTTAGCCTCCGTTTTTCTTTCGTAACGAGGATCACGCCGGTTGAATTCCAATGCTGCAATATTTTACACTTCCTCTCGCATATAAGTAAGCTTTGTTCTTTCCCTACTCGACAAAACATTGTTCAACTTCAGATGCATGCTACGACTTCCTTCGCAACGCCCCACGCATCCTCAGATGAGGATGTACATACGTACATACCATACGTTGACTTAAGGATTTAAATGATCCGTTTGTGTCGTCCCGTTTTGTTAGGCGTGGTGAAAGTGCTGAAGACTTGCACTGTGAATTTCATCCAAGGACATCCGGTACGAAATAGGCGACCTTGGGCTTATACCCTTCACACAAATGTGAATGTTTAATCTGCCGTACAGGTTAGTGCGCCGCCACTGGTCACTTACTCCGGAGGGCACGTGCCGCGGGGCGAGAGGTTTGTGTTCGCAGGAGGCCAAATGCCGACACGGGGCGCAGTGTGGCGCGATGACTGGTCTGTTTACATTCCACATTAGACGGATCGGGTGGTGATCGAACATGCGCGCCTCAGCAAACTGGAAACTCCGACTCTTGTACTCGCTCTGACGGCGCCAAGCCAGGGGTCGACGGGCGCGCCAAACACTCGGCGGTCGCGGAAATGTGGCGTGGCGTTTCCACAGCTCGTCCAGTTCTCCGAATTTAATGGCCGACAACGCTCATTTGCGATAGTTCTTCCATTCGTGGAAGTTTATTAATTGCTGGCATCTTCGCCGAGCGAAATAGGCCTGAAAGGTTCTGCTGCTATCTCAAGAATTAAACATGTCGGAGCCAAACCCCAGAGACGGAGAAAACTAGACAGAAAGTGGCAGAACAGAACATGGCCTGCTAGAGATGCAATGTTTGAGAACCACAGATACAGTGTCGTGCCTAACTTTGGACACGGCGTGCGCAAAGCGGAGCCTAGACAATAGTAGGTGTTTAATGTGCACCTAAAGAGCCCCCCCCCCAAGCATTTTTTGACCAGCTTTCAATTTACATCAGTTTGCCGACAATCTTAAAGGTTGTACAAGACAATATCATGCTCTCAGAAATCAACTGCTTACAGTCAAAAGGCTCCATGAAAAAGTCACTCAGTGTGCGGGCTCTCAATGCAATGTAAATCAAGGGTGGCAGATGGCAAAAACTTTACAAATCCAATATATAACGATATCGATCGCAGCAATAAGTGTGTTTTCTCAAGGGAACTCCATCATTCCCAGTAGGCTTCGGTGTGAGTCGACTCCTCGGGCCCATTTGACCAAGACCTCCACCTACACTGACAGATCACTCGTCATTCGGGGCCCACAAATTACAAAATGAATTGCTTTGTTTCATCTCTATGCGCACCAAGTCGTGTGAAAGTGTGATCGTTCAACTGCATCGTCCCTCTCGCCCGGTTTGGCCGGATGCATGGCGCTCCCGCAGCAGCCGTACTCACTCACTCTCTTGCACAAGTGCAGGCCTTCACATAGTATAGTGGGATAAACGTAGCTGAATTCAAGGGAACTACGGCAAATTTTAGACGGCCGTACCCCAGGCGAGCCCCATGAGACGCGGGCCAGGCGCTGCCTCGACTGTGGGTGTTCTCCGATGAGGTTTTCTCGAGCCAGTCGCACCCTGAGCCCCGTGAAATCCAGAGCTGCCTGCCCACACCCTGGGGGGCCGAGTAAGCAGCGGAGGCGTCCTGTTACCGCCGTGTTTACATACAGACGGCCGGCCGAACCGAGCGGCGGGGCGTGCGAGCGCCGCCGCCGGTCGGAGCCCCTGGCCGGCGCCCCCGGCTGGCGCCCCCGGCTGGCGCCCGGGATGCAGGTCATGGAAGCGCCGCGGACCCTCTGAGGGTCATGACCCCGCCAGCGGAGCGGGTTACGTCGCTCACTACCATTCCTCCATCCCCCATCCCCTGAAGAAGCCGGAGCAGAGCACAGAGCGGGCTCCTAAAGAACACGGAGCTGGTTTACATCGCTCACTACCACTCCTCCATCCCCATCCCCTGAAGAAGCCGACGTTGTGTGTGTGGCACGCACGGGAGTCCTTCATCGGTAAGAATTATCATACCCGGCCGCCCGCCACCGCTGGGATTTATACCCAAACACGCCCATTGCGTGTCGAGTTTGAGGGTCACCCGCCCGGCTCCTGTCCCCTTCCAACTTTGCTGATATATGAAGTGCAGTGTATATTTCATGTTTGAGATATTATATGTACACCTTTTACGGCGTCCATTCCTGTCACATGCCAGTTCTATCATTATGGAGTTGCACAGTGCGCACCGTTCTTCTATTCGCATGCTAAGGGTATCTGCCAGGTACAGGTCAGACACATGTCTAAAGTATACACGTCTTTTTGTAACATCTGAACAAACGGGAAAATCACAGCGATCGCATCTAAGCTATGTAAGATATTGCCAGCTCCTCGTGATGTTTTCGATGATGGACTGACACAGGTCTGGCAACGGACCAGGCCTGCAGCGCTAGCCCGCCGCCCACTGGCACTGTCCGTCTAATCAGCTAACTGTACTCTTGGGCGACACGGCTGGAGTGCAGGCATAATCCGTCGCCAAATGTCTGTAGGCTGATCAGTGGAAATCATGCACCAAACCTACGCTAAACTAAACCAAGCGCAAAGGGAGCTAACGTCAATCATGCGATAAACCAAACATTTCATGAAACCGAGACGATTTGCTGTGAATTCGTACGTGTAAATGTATTGAGCCACTTAGATCTGAGTCACGCTGATTACCTTTCGTGTCATTTAAGAGCTAGCACATATCTAACGACGACGTTGTCTGGACAGGTTATTCCGCGAGCTGCCGTGACAGCTCACTCTGTGGCCTGCCGTAACAGGTCTTTCCGTGACCTCCCTCTGACGGGTCATCCCTTGACGTGTCGTGACAGGTCATGCCGTGACCTGCTGTGACAGGTCATGCCGACAGGCCCCGGCGCATCTGAGCCCCAGTGTCCGGTCTTTTAGCAACGTCGTGGGTAGCGTGTCCCATCGATTAGCTGTGAAATCGGCAAAATGTGGATGCTGCTGTTTTTTAAGCTATAATGACCGTGCAGTGTCGGATGCTCCTTTCCAGAGTTTTGCTTGTTCAGGTGCCCAAAATATGCCAGGACAATGATACAGGAACCCCCTAAAACCACCCAAATGGGAACGCAATTTAAGTTAGAATGTCATATCTGGCTTTCTGTTTCACTACCTATCCCAATCCATTTAATTTTAGTCATACTTCTTGCCTTTCGATCTACCTGTTTGTGTTGACATCGCTACAATGATGTAATGCTAGTATGACACTACTGCTGTTCTCGAGCATTTACCCAAACCGGCCAGTTACCCGTTTGATCCGGTTACTCGCGGGTTTGAACCCACCGGTGAGCTATCTGGCGCACATCTTGCGGTTTGTAGTTCATGGCGTAATTACATGAACCTGCTTTGATGTCAAATTCTACGGACCTCTATAGAGCAAACTTCCAGCATTTTCGCGCATGCCAAAGAAGCTGACTGGACGGTGATCTCTTCCAATTCTACCAGGAACGTCAAGAACCAAGTATTACTCCACGCTTCGGCGGGGTTTATCCGCACGTTCACCGCGACATTTTAACCGATGAGGTTTATTTGCACTGCAACGCGTAATCGCCAGGGTCGTGCGGTGTGCAGGCCTCATGGTTACTGATGAGGATGTGTCATTGTGCTTCCAAGATGTTCCGACTGAGCCCCGTGATATCGTCCGGTCCAGGCTCGAGCCGTCGGTGACCCTGGGAAGCGGCGAATCCACGCATCCGGCGTCCCTCCTCAAGATCTCGTCCGAGGCCGCCTGCTGCAGGAGCGGAAATGGCGCGCGATAGGGCAACGGTCCCGCGGTAGCGGCTTGCGGTAGGCCTGGGTGACATAGCTGGTGCGCTTTTGTAGATGTGTTAGTACTGCTTTAATTTCAGCAAAATTTACTGAAACACACTGAAAATTTCTGAGATTTCTGGGACCGGAAATGCCCGGGCCACACACATTACAACAGCTTTAAACATTATACTAACATTTAAAACCGACTCGCCACTCATATGCTAGAACTTCTACAGGCATTAGGAAGCAATTCTTGTGTACACCCTCACTTGTGCATCCATCTCTCCGTTAAGCGGTTGAAAATGCGATATTGTCAGCGAAGCTCTCAGCGCCAACCCCCGTTGACCAGCGTTCACCGTTGTATACTGGTGCCTAACCTACAAAGTGCAAACATCACAGAACGTGATAGATTGCAAATGCAGGGCCAAATACGAAAGAAACGCTGTCTCACTGTAACAAATGGTCCAGATGGCCACAAATGTCACGTAATCACGAGTACATTCCCGTCCTGACCACTCGCCGTCGATGTGGATCAGTAAAGACCATCATCATGGCTTACTGGCCCAGATTTTGAGCGGGTGCTGTACCCGGCCATCTTGTCAGTCATTGATGCATACTTCCTTTAGACGGCCCCAACAGTTTGGAGCTAAAAACGCTAAGAACACTGTTGGCCGGCGCCTGCTCATCTCCGGCGCTCTCCACGGTCTTCGTGCTCGCCGCGCCCGCGACCTCCCGACCGGCGGCATCGTGCCCCGCGTCTGATTGGTCGCCACCACCCTCCTCACCCTCCGATTGGTCCAGTACACCCGACCCCCCTGCTGATGGGTCGGTGAGGCCCAAACTCGGCGTCAGCTGCTCCGACTTGACGCCATGCACAGCTTTCAGGTTGAGCAGCGTCATCTTGGAGATGTCCAGCTTGCGCTGCCAGATGATGACCTTGCGCTTCAGCTTGTAGACGCGGTCGTTGGTGCGGATGTAGTCCATGGTCGGCGGCACACGGTAGTTGGCCATATGCGTGCGCAGCTTGTCATTGATGGCTCGTGACGTCACCAGCTGCTTCTCGACGACCGCATGCTCGGTTGTCACGCGCTGACCGATGGCCTGCTCGCGCTGCGTGGCCGCGTCCAGCCGGCGGCCCTCCTCTGTCAGTGCCTGCCGACAGCGGCCGGTCGGGCGTCAGTCAGAGCTTGCCGACAACAGCCAGTCATATGTCAGCACCTGCTGACAGCGGCCGGTCGGGCGTCAGTCAGAGCTTGCCGACAACAGCCAGTCATATGTCAGCACCTGCTGACAGCGGCCGGTCAGGCGTCAGTCAGACACAGGATGGTCAGTCGCATCCAGCAGCGCCTGCCGACCGACTGCTGGTTGGCCGGCGGCCAAAGCCTGGCCGTGTCAGGCTGATCAGCTATCAGGCAGTGACGCGGCCGCGTCAGGCTGATCAGTTATCAGGCAACGACGCGGCCGCGTCAGGCTGATCAGTTATCAGGCGGTGACGCGGCCGCGTCAGGCTGATCAGTTATCAGGCAACGACGCGGCCGCGTCCGGCTGATCAGTTATCAGTCGTGGCGCGGCCGCGTCAGGCTGATCAGTTATCAGTCGTGACGCGGCCGCGTCAGGCTGATCAGTTATCAGGCAGTGACGCGGCCGCGTCAGGCTGATCAGCTATCAGGCAGTGACGCGGTCGCGTCAGGCTGATCGAAATAAAAAGGCACCATTGACGGCCACTCCAAAACATTGCCCACTTGTGCGAAGTGTTTTGTTGGCGTCTCTTCAAATTGAGTGCGTGGCATTAGGAATTGCAGCATGTGTTTCAAAACCGCAACCACCTTTACGTCAGTTTTAAAAGAGCGCTCTGTTGAGCTTCATGGCTTCATACAAAATCTCCTCCCTTGATGTGCATTGGTGTGAATGCCTGACCTGCATTTTACGTTTCTGCTGGTTCAGCTCGTGAAGAGAACGGCCCGCCAACAGCTTCAGTTGTATCATGGTGTTATTCTTGTCCTCTATTCTGTCTAGGAATTGCTGGTTTTCTATTTTCAGCTGGTCAAAGTCCACTTGGCGAAGAACCTGTGCACACGTCCATGTAATCAAAAGCATTGTCGTCACTATTGTCAACCCTTTTTAATAGAGAAGCTATAAACGACACACCAGATATATTTTTGGAGGTGACGTATCACCATACCTTAAGTTCAGGTGATGGACACCAGCCAGGCCTGCCAAAGCAATGGTACAGCTCTACCAAGCCCGTTATACATATACCACTGGCAATTTGTACATGGTATTGCTCTAGCCACCACTGTGTCATACAGTCCTCCGGCACTGCCGTTCGATATTAAGGCTCTTGCTCTTTGTCCGATAGTTGTGACACGCTAGGTACGATCCTCTGCGAAGCGCTTAAGCGGTATAACCAGTCTGTACGCGCCTCGCCCATCTCTTCCTTCTGCCGCATGTGCGTCTCGAGTTTCCGCGTCATGGTCTTCATGTTGGCATTCTTCAGTCGAAGCTTCTCCAGAAGTGCATCTCTCGACTTGTTCAACTCGTCAAAATGCCGTTGAACCTGTGAAGATTATAACACAATTAAATATACCTTGATCCTCTAATGCATCGGTTGGCCACTTGTTTGGAAAAGCATTTTGTCGACCTGTGCATGAAAGAAAACAGTGTCCTGTGTCATAGTCCTTTGTAACATATATTGGTCTAAAACTTGTACGGGTAAGTAATTGTGTATCTCAAGCACCTACACACGAGATATCAGCATGGTGGGCACACATAAAGCATTCCTTAATTATTCCATCAGTAACGTATTGGCCCCAATTTCAGATTCAAGCGATAAGCGCTAGGACATCAGCAGCTGGCTCGCCTGACACCCATAACAGGGAGACTTACGACGTGGTACACGCAAGACACCACATGTTAAGTCCCTGTCGGCATCACCCTGGTCCAGTGGTTGTTTCAGCCATGAAGCGAATCGTCGGACCCCTTCTCGAGTTCAAGCTCTGTGTCCACGCATCAGACAGATGTTGACTATAAGGCCTTGCGATGGCATTAGGATCTTGTCCTGACAATGCGTTATTTTGTCCCACTGCCCTCCCCTCTTCGACTGCCGCTCAGTTCCGCTGCTTTCTTGCTTTTTGCCCCCCCCCCCCCCTCCTGTTTCCTCCCTCCCAGTTGTATACAGCACTTGCCAAACGGAGATTGTAACGAACTCCATGACTCCGGGACCCACGGCATACCGGTACAGTTCATCGGATAGTTTCCCTATGACATTGCCAGGCGGGTCACGGAAGGTTTACGTGCCGAGCAATACTCTAATATGGTCACACAGATCAGGCTTACCTTCGACATCTTCTCACTTACCCTCGGACATGTCGCGACGGCTGTTAGTCTTACCTGACCTTATCTGACATAACATCAAACGTGGCCCGCGACGGAGCCTGACCTGACCTGACCTGACCTCCCTTGACATGGCACCGGACGCGGCCGGCGCCGAAGTCTGACCTGACGTTTTGAGACATGACACTGAGCGCGGTCCGCGCTGGAGGCTGACCTGACCTGACGTCTCCTGGCACGACACCGAACGCGGCCCGCGCCGAAGTTTGACCTTCTGACCTTTTCGGACATGACGCGACTGGAGCGCGGGTTGACGGCGCCCTTGATCACGTCCTTCTCGAACGCGGCGGACACGTTCTGGATCTCCTTGAGCCGGATATCGGCCGCCTCTAGCACCGCCCTGAAGCCCGGCCAGCATCGGACGCCGGTCACGAACGCGCACGCGAGGCTCCACCGGCAACAGGAGTCAATTGAGAACAACAGAGGCGACATTTATGCACAATACCAGGCACCACTGGTAATGTCGTTATCAGCCTGTTAATGTCTTAGCACCCTTGAACGTCACTTTCACTTAACTTGGACGTAACAACTATTTTAAAGGCTGTGCTGGTGCTGCTTCCCCAGCCCCGTGCTGCCTCTCCCCCCCCCCCCCTTCCTCCCCCCGACGACGTACCGCAGGTTCTGCAGACTGCGCTCGTGCTGGTTCTCCTGCGCCTGCAGGGCCTCGTTGAGCTCCTCCAGTTCTCGGCTGGCCACGTCGCAGCGCTGCTCGGGCGTCAGCCGCACCAGGGCTACGCCGCGCATCCCGCCGCTGTACCCGGACCGGCCGCCCTGCAGAAGAGGCCGCGTCCGGTACCGGGGCTGTGCCGGGGCCCACCACCCGGCCACAGAGGCCGCGTGACGTGGCTGAACACAGATCGCCTCCATGGAAGATCGCGGGTTGCATCAGGAACCGGGCTGCAGACGGGCCGGCCTGGTGGAACGTCATACTGTGCGGGGTGTCACCGCCACCCCGGGCCGCACCGACCGTGCTGGGTGGCGCAGGGACTCGGGGGCACTTCGTCGGATGCCGAGGTTTTGCGCCATGTGAATATTCTGTGCCCGAGGCGACTCCGGGGTGTTTGTCATGACATAGCGGCCACCGATGCGGCGAAATTCTACATTGTGCCCATGTGCCCAACGTTATGGGTGATGGACAACACAGAGGTCCATGCGGTGTGATCCGGCGCTTTGGAACGGAAATTGAAGGAGGGGCAGCCTGACCGGTCGCCCTGGGCTCTGGGTTCATACCCTGAATTTGTTAATTTAGCCATTGTCTCAGAAGCGATGCAACATCGCACCCCCTCCCCTCAAAGGAACGCCTCTCAGAGGCGCCCTCCCGACATACCTTTCCGCTCTGCTTGCGTCTGCCGCGGAGCGTGCTGCGCGTTGATTGGTCGCTGGTGCTGACGTCGGACGCTGATTGGGCAGGGCTGAGGGAGGGCGTGGTCGACTGCACTGAGCTCCCCGGCTGTATGCTGCCACCGGCGGTCGCTGCGTGCTCCCACGGGTCGACGCGCTGTAGAAACTTCTCGAACACGTCTGTCTCCAGTTGTAGCATCTTGACGTTCGCCTGCAGTTGCTCCGTGGACTTGGCCAGCTGCTCATCGGTCAGCTGATCAAGCTGCGGCCGCGGCGGACGAGCATCATTACACGGATGTTGTAAACAACAGAGACCGCGCACATCATTAAGAGGGATGTGCAAGGGCGTCACTTTCTATACTCACGAGGGCCTTAGGCCAGGGGCGGATCCAGGATTCCGTCAAGGCGGGCTGCAACGTTGTGGGGTCATCTAGGGTCTGGGACTCCCTCCGAAAAAATGAGCACAGAACCCTCTGAGCAAAAGGGGAGTGAGTTACCCAAGACCATAAATTAATATCCCTGTGCGATCAAGAGCGCCCGGGCAAGCTCTTTCTCAACAGAAAGAGCCCCGAGAGGAGTGAAGAATCGTTCGTAAATGAGGTGGCCGGGCAGGTTCTTTCTCAACAGAAAGAGCCCCGATAGGAGTGAAGAATGCCCCGTAAAGGGAAAGAGCCTTCGATCAAAGTAGCGGGCCCCTGAGCATCGACTGACTAGGTGCCTTACCTTTTATGAGCCCCAGCAACAGCACAAGGCCCGCCAAGCAGGTGGAAAAAATCAATACTCAAATGAAGAACCCCTGAGCTACTGAATGTACCCTAGCAAACCCGTCCCGGGAAAAGGCGTATAGAGCCTTTCGGGCGAATGGGAAGAATCCGTTGAGGGAAGCCTGATCAATGAAGAGTGCCGAGGTATGAAAGAAGGCAGTGTCCCAACAACAGCGTTGAGCTCTACGAGAAAATGCAGAGAGATCAAGGGCAGCGTGGAATGCTCCCTAGCGATCAGATTGATCGGCAAGTTGACCTATAGGGCCCCGGCAACGGCGTTAAGTCTCTGGACAGTGTAAAGAGGCCCAAAATTTCCTCCGATCAATGCCTTCTCAATTAGTGAAGTACTAACTTTGCATATGCACTCTACTTTCGCGTGCAAAGTTCCTTTGTCGTCTGTAGGCCCAAACACGTTTTCTTATAACTGTGTCCGTTCAGCCGGTTATGATCCTCTTCGGAGCCTTTAAGTTCCCTCGGCATGGTCCATGGGGTCATGGTCCCGCTTCCCCTCCCCCCCCCCCTTGTGTCCGCCATCGGCCCGAGCAGCTTAATAGGCAGGGCCCGCCAAGAGCATGACACAATCGATTCAAATAAGAAGTACCCAAGATACAGCATAGGGGCCACGGAATGATCGAGCGTGCCCGAGCAGGTTATCAGATGGCCCCGGTAGGAGCGAGGGGCTTTAAATTCAAACACCAAGATTCGACGCGCAGGGCCCCGGAACAGTCCAGCGTGGCCGGGGGGGGGGGGGGGGCGAACAGAGGAGCCCGACAAGTGCGTAGGGCCTTCCATTCAAACAGAAATTACCCAAGACCCAATGTAGAGGGCCCCCGAACGGTCGAATATGTGCGAACAGGCAAGACAATAGAAATAGCCTCATTCCTCGGAGAAAGACCAGGAGAATGGAGATAGTGATGTGTTGATATTTTGGCAACATGCCTTAATCGAAACAATAGTAGAAGCGAATTCAAAATTATCTGCCGATGATCCTACTCAGTTTTTCAGGTTTTTTTTTAAAACTTCAGCTCAGCCATCCCAACCTTAACTAGAAAGTGACAGCCCAGGATATGCGGAGGCAGCACTGGGTCTCGCGCTGCTTTCGGCTTTATAGCGGACTGCGATAACCAGACGCCTCAAAGTACGAGTCGTGACTGCTCCATATCAACTTTGAAAAGCCATTCAAAGCCACGTGATCGCTCTGAACCCGTCATAGACAGAGATATCACGACAGCATATCCATAATACATTAAATTATTTGTTCTTTGAATACGACAGTTTCATCGCAGACAACGCCGCCGGCCTCATGCACGAACATTTCTGCATGCGTCATAAATGCACGGCATATTTCGTGTCCGTAACTACCCATAGCCAAGCGTGGAAGTCACTGCTCTGTGGGGTGTGAATGTTAAAGGAACATGCATCAAGGCTTCATACAAACGGCTTCAGTTCGCTCCCAAAAACGGAGCCTTTCACGTTGTGTGTCGAGTCACAACCGCACCTCCTCCCTCCCTCCAACACCCTGACCGACTCACGAGCAAAGAAGGAAACAAATAACTGTTCTGTGGTAGCCCTATCTCTTTTATCCTGCACAATTGGTGCAGTCCTCAGCCCTGCCCTTCTTAAGACCTAAACCCTGCTATTTTCTGAGCTACACGCCCGCTAAGATGCATAAACTTTTCCGGGGAAACCATTTCAGTGTCACCCAGTTATCTATGACGCCTGACTAACGTAATTCAAATTCTACCATTCCATCGGGCAAATTTTACCATTCAATCAAACAATGACGTATTCAGGAACATATCTACGAAATATATAATGTGTGGTGTCTGGAGCAGTCTGTTCCACGTAATCCCGATAGTCATAAATGCGCGTTTGCCATCATATCTGATCTTTTCCTTTAAAACTGACTTCCTTTTAATCGTAGCAATCTTAGTTTCTACCACTTCGACATGCACTCTTTGTGTGGGAATGTAAATTGTTGACATGCGTAGCGGCTCCGGCCCTTTAACAGTGAGAGGAAAGTGGGTCAAATTTGGTGAGAAATATGAACCCTCTCTCTCTCTCTCTCTCTCTCTCTCTCTCTCTCTCTCTCTCTCTCTCTCTCTCTCTCTCTCTCTCTCTCTCTCCTCTCTCTCTCTCTCTCTCTCTCTCTCTCTTCTCTCTCTCTCTCTCTCTCTCTCTCTCTCTCTCTCTCTCTCCTCCTCTCTCTCTCTCTCTCTCTCTCTCTCTCTCTCTCTCTCTCTCTCTCTCTCTCTCCTTCTCTCTCTCTCTCTTGTCCATAGCCTCCTCTCAGGCACTAACCTGCTGGTCGGGGACGGCCCTGTAGGTGGACTGACTCCTGGCCGAGACACCTCCCAGGCTAACCAGCGTGGAGGTAGACATGGCGTTAGTAATTTGAGACTATGACTTCAAGTCTCCTGGGAGCGTGTCCTGTATGCGACTACGCGGCGTGTGCGTCCACTGCAGAGGCTTGTCCTGTTCGAGTCGTATCAAGTCGGTAGACTCCTCCAACAACAATTCAGATTAACATGACGCAAAAAAACACACAAAAGTTCTGCATCTCATTATCTAGATCACTTCTCATTCCAAAAAAGCGACCTGGGACATCCATGCCCAAAACTTGCAAAACCCAGGCCTTAGACAAAGCATCTCACTCGTGCAAATTTGTTGTTGGGTACGCCACTAAAGAAGGTTATCTGAGAAGATAACATTTTTCCGTAACTGAGCAATTGTTGTTAGATTATGGCTGCAAAAGCACCATAGCTGCGAAAGCACCGGTGCACGTAAACCCGTAGGTCAATTAGTCCTGTCTTACGTTCTGGACATCTTGGACTGCCAAAAGCGTTTGTCTCTCTCTGTTCTTACGGTAGATGCTCAGTACTGATCTTCATGGCTAGCCAAATACTGTGCTAGTAAAGAGCACATTTTGAAAAAAAAACAATCATTTTGTAACAAGCTGTTGTCAAATCCGGCCGTCTTGTTGGGGATCGCGCCATGCTGCAACGCCACCTAATGTCATCGAATGCGATACTAGCGTCATCTACACGTGGTGGTTGGGATGGACGAACCGATTTTAGAACATAAGTACATATCGGAAAAATACGCATGCAAGACGCACGCATACTTTAACGTGAATGTTCGTACCCAAAAAATTCATGAGAACATGTTTACATGATATGGAAACATTTTCTCATGCATGGAAAATGTTCGCACTGACAGAAATTTTGACAGAAGTTCGTCAGGCCAAAAGTTTGTATGGAAAAATCGTATGCATAAAGTGCGTGCGCAATTGTTCGTGAGCAATGAGACGTACTCAGATATTCGTAACGGATAAAGTTGATTTGAAGTATTACGCACGTAAAATTTCGTGAGCAGCATAGGCATAGAAATGGTGTCTGTGAGGACCCAACCTTCTGAGAGTGCCAGACATTAAACCTATGGCGATGCATGAAGAGGGTTGACTTCGTAATGGTGGATGATAATTCTACAGATAATGTCCCAGGACATATCAACTGTCAAAACACTAAATCTGCCAGCTGTAAAATTCCGCTGAGTGTCCTAATCAAAGGGGGTACATCAAAGCGGATCCAGCTGGGGCATCATTCTCTCTTGGATCCGATTTTCTTTATCTAAGCGATGACACACAGGCTGTCATTCGTGCACCTACCCGCCGTATTCTACAAGCCAACTGGCTCTCGCCGTGTCCACCAGTTGACGTCGGTGGGGCGCTCAGGGGACCTCCCGCCGTGTCCACCAGCTGACGTCGGTGGGACGCTCAGGGGACCTCTCGCCGTGTCCACCAGCTGGCGTCGGTGGGACGCTCAGGGGACCTCTCGCCGTGTCCACCAGCTGACGTCGGTGGGACGCTCAGGGGACCTCTCGCCGTGTCCACCAGCTGACTCGGTGGGACGCTCAGGGGACCTCTCGCCGGGTCCACCAGCTGACGTCGGTGGGACGCTCAGGGGACCTCTCGCCGTGTCCACCAGCTGAACGTCGGTGGGGCGCTCAGGGGACCTCCCGCCGTGTCACCAGCACGTCGGTGGGACGCTCAGGGGACCTCTCGCCGTGTCCACCAGCTGACGTCGGTGGGACGCTCAGGGGACCTCTCGCCGTGTCCACCAGCTGACGTCGGTGGGACGCTCAGGGGACCTCTCGCCGTGTCCACCAGCTGACGTCGTAGGACGTTCAGGGGACCCTATCGCCGTGTCCACCAGCTGACGTCGGTGGGACGCTCAGGGGACCTCTCGCCGTGTCCACCAGCTGACGTCGGTGGGACGCTCAGGGGACCTCTCGCCGTGTCCACCAGCTGACGTCGGTGGGACGCTCAGGGGACCTCTCGCCGTGTCCACCAGCTGACGTCGGTGGGGCGCTCAGGGGACCTCCCGCCGTGTCCACCAGCTGACGTCGGTGGGGCGCTCAGGGGACCTCTCGCCGTGTCCACCAGCTGACGTCGGTGGGACGCTCAGGGGACGGAAGGCGGAGCCGTCGACAGTGAGGTCACGGTGAGGGATACGGGAGAAAACAAATTCGGAGTGTGATCTGTAGTGGGGAACCGCCGAATGACGTTTAATGTCATGTCACATGGGGATGGGGGCTAGTCATAAGATTTGGCCTGACATTCGCCGTTGGCGTTGTCTACCTCTGGATTGGCTACACTGGCTATGGCGGCCTCTAAAGCAATACTTCATCCGAGGCCTGGGGCCACGAAGATCTGCATTCCAACGCACATTACACGTCTGCAAGCGAAGTTTTACGTGCGCACTTTTGTCAAAAGAACCTCGTTTTTGATGAACGCGATTGCACAGACAATTCCCCAGCAGAATTCTTTGCACAGACAAGGCTTCAACTCGTTTGCAAAATGAGTCGGTTGACGGTAGTAACATCTCGGTCGTCGGCGGGGCGTCCATGAACATGGCGGCGCACAGCGCAGGCGACGTCTGGTTAGTGCTTTGGCTTTTTTAGTTAATGTGCGGACTGCTAGGGACTAAGCGGGACATCATTTTCTTAAGCTTGCGACTTGATGATAGGTGGCTGCTTCTAAGCCCACAAACTTACTTTTCTTCCAAAATTTGATTGGCACAGATGCGCGGCTAATGTAACGTTTTCCAGTAGTCAGTAGCTGGTATGAAACAGTCTAGCATTCGAGTGGGCGAGGCTTGTGTTTGTCTACCAATAACACAGTAGTTGAAATGAAACACGGCCTAAGGCACTTAACGACGCAGCATATGCAAATTCGTTACTTGACAACAGCGGCAAACCCGCGGTTGGTAGAAGCAAGGCCCTATAAGCGTTAATTCAATTACCTGTGGTGGATCCGTTGTCGATTGGTGTAATCGTTCAGGTCGCTGGGTTCTGCAATGGACATACGACAGTTCTCTGCAGAAAAGGTGGCTATCTGATGCTCTTTCATCCCCAGTTCGATGTACACTGTGCAGTTGCTTCTTTTGGGTCTACGGGGTCACAAGACAGGGCAAGAAAGCAGGAAAGGCCTGCCGCATTCTGAAGGTCTGAATGGCGTGGCTCACTACTACTAGTGAATTTCGTGGCATGCCAGAAGCAGGAGATAGAAGCAAACTAAAATGTTGTATGCAATTCGCAAAATATCGAAAAAAAATCAGAGATCCATAGGTGCGGAAGGGTGTCAAGGAAAGAGTGAGGAGTGTAGTGTAGTGTAGTTATTAAGCGAAGCGTTATCAAGCACCAGTCCAACTTTGAAACTGTCCACCGGTGGCCTTTTAATCGGAAGTTGATATGACCTTGACACGACTTCATGTTACTGAGCAAACATGTTCACTATTTTTACGCGAAAAGTTAATGTTGGTAGCTTGCCATCACCTTACACTTGCATTTCGTTCCCGCCGGAAAACCGCGTCAGCGATACAGACGTCTTTTAGGAAATTAGTTGTGTCCCTCAGTGAGGTTACAACCAAGGTTAAACCGTACGGTCAAAATTATCGCACTATTTCAAAAGTATTTATAATTGAGCACGGAGGCCGAAAAGTGAGCTTTTGGCTTGTGCAGTTCGAAATCAGGGGCCGCCGCGCCTAGATACACAGCCTTCAGCCCCACCAGCTGCCGGTGGCCGGATCGATGGAAGGCGTTTGCGAGGGCCTGCTTGGCACACCGCAGAACCAACAATTTTAGGAGCTCGCACTGTGGGCACGTGGTTCTTTCTTGCATACGCCGAGGGCGGAGCGCTTGGTGTGCAGTTCGTTCTGGTGCCTTCTGCATAACATCTTTAACAGCTTTTTTCCAGCCTCTTCTTAAGGAGAGTTATGCAGCCCTTGCCGTCATTGGGACTAGTGATGTCGTAGCAGGCCCCAATCATGCATGGGGTGGCCTCGTACGCATCCAAGATCTTCGCCATCAATTTCGATTGTGCTACGTCTCGCTCCGGATGTTCTAGCATCCGGATGTAATATTCGACACCCGTCCCTCTCCAACTCAATTCTTTCCCAGGGTGTTTTGTGGACACTCGACTGGATTTCTCAACTTGGGAGCGAAGCGGAAGTCGAGCCAACAAATAAACCAATGGTTAACCTCGTACCTCATTTGAATACCGGCAAGATATATACTACCATGGGCAGTAATGGCACGCAACGTTTCAGCCCGGGAGGGCATACGCCATAAGCCAAAACAACTATGGATATATCGCTGAATTCTTCAAAACTCTTCACTAACATGTTCAGCTCGCAGGTCGTGTAGCCGTTCCTGGGATAACCCCGCACGTCTGGTCATGCCCAGCGAACATCGAATAGATCGGGCGTCGCTGCACAACCCCGTGAAGCCGACAACATATTATGTGATGGAAAGTAGCCGCTTAGGTTGAGCTGTGGTAAGGTAGATGACGCTAGGATCGAGTTGAAACATTATAGAGGCGCTGATGTCGCTGTTTAGTCCTGTCCCGCGACTCGTAACGAATGCGTCTTAACATCGTAACTGCCAGTGTGAGTTGTTTTCCATTAGTATGTTATTGTTGAATTATTCGATGATCATTGGAGCCAAACCTGGTCATAATCGGGTGATAATTTTATATGTTTGTGTGCGCAATGTATCGTTCTCTTTCGTCGCCAAGCTGGTGGGCGAATTGTCAAGATGGCGGTCACGGCGTTGGATGGCTGACCTCGTGATTGGTGCTGAATTGACAATAAGATTTTTGCCGGAAAGAAGCTTGCTGATTTCCCGGACACACTACAACGTCGTTTAGATAGGAGACTGTAACGTAAAAAATGCGATTTCAGGCGATCAAAAACCCGCAGAAAACTAAACTTAACTTGTTTTATCAGACATTTGGTGTGCGGTGAACGGGACACAAAATTCAACCAGAAACTACCGAGCGCAGGTCAAAATTGTTTTTCTTCCTTTGTTAGGCACGATTTTAGTCCCACGTCTAATCTTCGAACGGTGCGACTTCATGTTGAAAGACTTGAAAGTCTAATTTCACGACGATCGTTCTCATGCGCCCCGCACCCGATGCCTGGTGTTGTCTGCGGCGGCCAACACCCCTGGGTTCTGCGGAGACTGTAGCCCCGACCATTTACGTTCTTGTTCCTATGATTGGAAACGCGCGAGTTTACCATTGTCTCTTGTAC